AAGTCTAAATAAATATTTGGAGATATTTATTAGGATATTAAAGGCAAGATTAGGCTGGAAAAAACATGGAAAATAGAGAAAACTAAATTAGTATTTTCAATTGAGCCTTGATCAAACCATATTTTGTTTTTCCAGAAACCTCTGACGGTATTTGAAATGTGTTCTCAATGGAAAAGTTTCATCTTTATTAGTTTTTTAAACCGTGGTTAAACAGATTATTCATTAATAAACAAAACGTTTAGCTGTTTAGTGTTCAATTTTAAGCATTAATCCAGATAAATAATTCCATTTTATCATTTTTTTTTTTTGGTAATTCACATCTTGATTTGATGAAAAATAATACCCCCAAAAGTTTTATATTCTACTTTTAAGGGCTGACCTACTTGGTAGCACTGATGCCTTGCAGCAAGAGGGTTCTGAGGGTTTGAACTCCAACCTGGGTCCTATCTGTATGGGGTATGGATGTTTATGATTCCAAAAACATTACCTTTATTTTAGCTGATATGAAATGCCTTTTCTAGCTACAAACAGAATGTTAATAAAGCATTAATTTGTGCACTACCAGATTTATGGACAAAAATCAAATGAGGTTTGAATTCAGTGATTTTTTTTTTTACTCTCTTTGTGTGCTTTAATATCCTAGCAATATTCTACATTGTCAACATATCCATCTTTACTGCATATTCAGGACATACCTACATGTATATAGTTTTTCAACAAGTTCAATGCAATTCTTTATTCTGCCTTTATACTTAATAATTCCCTTTTAATTTAAAGCAGATTCCTTCTAATATTTCCTTTTTTGTCATTCTATAGAAAGGTTTACATGTGTTCACATGAATAAATAAATAAATAGAAAACTAAACCTGGACTGAATGTAAAAAAACACCTTGATTTGGTGAATCCTTACACTCTAGGAAATCAACTGCTCAAACGAAGATGACCTCCGTTTTCTGAGCATGAGACCCTCATATTTTTTTTATTTTTTAGGATTCTCTTAGAAACCAGGCTGCAGCTCATGACAGTTCATGTATCACCTCATTACACTGCATACATATTGAAATATTATTTATAAGATTACGGATGAAATTGTTAAAACTCTACACCCCCTGTCAAACCTGTAGTTTTTGTGATAAATCAAATAATACTGGGTCCCTTTGAAAGCTTTTAGCAAATATTTGGAGATTTTCCTGTGTGTAAAATCTGATGAAAAAACAACATCAATTTAGAGGACTATAAAGGAATGCAATAATCAGAGTTACAAAACAGTATAGATTGTAAGACTAACACTTTGCTAAAACACTGTTTGTTAACAATTTCAGCATCTAGTGTTGCCCAGTCTAGGTTCAGTTCTCCAGATCTATTGGATCAAGCATCTTTAGTCCACAGATTTATTCAGATAAAATTTTGGTCATAGATACAAGCTTGATCTGATTGTTTTACTGAAAATGTAATATGTCTTCATCTTAAATATTTGACCAGACACTTAAGGACTTTAGTTTGGCTGATGCTGGAAATATTCATAACTTCATATATCTTGACAAAAAAAAAAAAAAAAAACTCAGTCCAATTGTGATGTAACTACAAAGCTCTGCAACCACCATCCTTTATGTGAGCTTTGCATCATTTTTGGTGATAGGATTTGTTTTATGTCAAATGTGTGATCTAAAATTATGGAACAAAAGGTCCAGGTAGGCTTAGTTAAACTATAATCCCTCCGTTTTTCATGAACCTTCAATCTTTTTAATTATTTGGAAGGACTTGTACATGAACCCCACATTTGGAAGATTAAAACCGTCACACTCTGTAGCCTCCCCATTTGTCTCTGGACCAATGTCCACATTTTGTAAGGTCCCTTTCCACCCAAATGTTCCACAACAATTGGTAAAGGGCTTCACGTTGCCATGGTATTAAATGCTGGGGAATTTTCTCTATTTATTTTTTTCTGATAGAAACCTATGTGCAGCAAAGTGATTTTAAAAACTCTCTTCAAATCACGGCATCAACAGAAAGATAAAAGAGAGCAAATTTTAAAAAGTCCTCTGAGGACAGCTGACATTTCTGTCTGGTTCAATTGACGGAGAAAATGTAAATGCAGGTAGTCACGGCAACTGAGTGTTGAACCTAAAAGAAAAGGTTTCTCACTATCTGGTTTTTACAGCTTTCTATCTCTTATGAGTTTTATTTGGCTTTTTTTTTTCAATTGTATTCAACATTGGAGTATATGTGGGCAATTTTTTTATTTTTTTTTTAAAGTAAAATATTTATTTAAAAACAGTATTTTAACAAGGGTGTACATCAAATGTGAAGATTTAAGAGCAGTGGTTTATCTTCTCCCTCTCTGAAAAACTCACGTTTCCTTTATGCATTCCCTTCGTTAGCATGCTATTTATAAAAGAAAATCCATTTGACAATTTTGATTCTTTACCTCCTCTAAATTTCTAATCTCTATTTTCTCTCTGAATCTGGAAGGATAATCTGTTCAGCACTTCTTCTTCTAAGTGGTCTGAATATACAAATGCAATTATGTTTCTAATCTATTATTCAGTTGCTGAAGTCCACTGAGTTCACATTCTTGTAATAATACATAAGCCCATGCTCACCCTGTTGTAATTGCTTGGACAAATTCAACCAGAGCTCAGTTTGCTGTTCAACAATGTCCAGCAGCTCTTCATAATCCAGAAAAACATTTAAAGGTGAACCGTTATATGTAAAATAAAGTTTCATCACTTATGAAGAGGTAGTGCAGCATATTCCATTGGGGAAGCTTGAAATATTTATTATATACTTTCTGCTTTAAGTCCTGGGAAGCTAAAATAAAAGCTAAAATTGCTTTGTTCATTCGGTTCTGTTACAGCATCGTCTACAAGAGGTATGGAAAAGTCCCAGTCTTTTCCTTCTAGTGACGTCAGCCAGCACAAACCCTTAACCTTGCTCAGTAGTCTCAGCTGCTCACAGAGTCCACAGCCAAGCTCTTCTCACAGCCTGTCAGATGAGCATGTTTTCAAGTGTCCAGATATGTGTGTATGGCAGAGATGAAGGTGATGTTTTGTCTCTCCTCATATTCTGAACACGTGAACAGAGGGAGCTGTTTATATCAATAACCTTGGCAGCCTGCTTTGCATTATTAGTTAAATGACTTCCTGCTTCTATTCCCTTAGAGACGCCTTTAAATTATTACAGTGTCTTTGAATTTGCATAAATATAACCACTTCTAGTTACACAAATCCATATATTAAATCAAAGAATTGAAAACATTTAGTATTATAATCCTTGCTAATATTATTCACTACACTAACTTTTGTATTTCTGTAATCACAAGAATAATCCTGAGAATGATGTTCCCAGGACACTTACAGCTGGAATAACAGTCTGTACGGTGGACTACTGTTTTTCCCAGTAAGAGAAAAACATATAAACAACAGTATTCTTGTTTCCTGTATTATTGCTTATAAGATACACTGCACACTATTAGCTATATATGTATATAAGGCAGCAAATATTGAACATTGATTAAAAACCTATCTTTCTTTAAACAAATAAAGATGCTTTTTCTTTTGGTTTTCCATCAAATTCGGCAGAGCATCTTATCCTGTGGGAGAGTAGGTCTGAAAACATCTTTCCTGCAAGAAAGACAGTTGTTCTCCAGACAACATTTGACATAAAGGAGAGTGAGACCACAGCATAGCTGCTCAACTAACTCAAAGATACTGCAGCACTTCATGCTGCTTTATTTGTCTGTATAAAAAGATTCAGCTCATAAAAAAGCCATAACAGAGAAACCGCTCAAACATGTGACCAATTGTGAAATTAATGAAATAGTTCTTATGAAAACCTTACTGAGGACTGCTCTTTGTTTTTAAATGCATTATTAAAGAATAATCAAAGTTGGCAGCACTGAGAAATTAGTTTCCTCTGTCTTTATTTTTCTCCGTCTCTTCCAACGCCCCGTCAACTGAATAGCTTCTTAGAAAATAATGGATTCTAATTTTTTTGACATCATTTTCTACAATATGTTTGAACATTTTGTTTAAGTCCACAGAAAAAGGAAACAATATAGTCAAAATTTATTAAGTGCCTCAGGGGTTAAGTCATCTTAAAACATGACCGTAATTAAAATTTCTTTTCCATAAATAGTAATAAAAACAAAGGATAAGGACCAACATATTTAACAAAACATTGTGTTTTTAAGGCTTTGAGGACAATATTTCTGGAAAGCTGGAACCAGAACAAGGAAATATACATTTATTTGGCATTATTAAGGCATTTTTTTCATCCTATATGATGATGTCTTCTGTTAAACAAAGCTGAGTCAGAGGCATAGAAAATACATTCTGTATTTTTGCTGCTTCATTGACTGCTCTGTGTTTGTAAAACCTCATGATCATATTTCATGGATAATGTGTTTGGTACACACGTGTGAGCTTCTTGATAAAGGCTATTTTTACTTTTCAAACTGGAAGGGACATGTGGTTTTTATAATTGAAATGACCCATCTAGCTCCTGTAGCTCAAACAGATAACTTGATTAGATTCAGTGTGATGGAGCACTTCCTCTATGAGACGGCTTCAGCTTTAAAGGAGCCTTTGATTCTTACAGGTGATCCCTCTTGCCCAGAAAACGCTCTGGAGGGTTTGTATCTTGGATGGCAGAGTATACTACCCCTTTTATTTCGACTTATCTCGCTCAAAAGCTGTCATCGTTTGTCGATATCAGTTCCCTTTTGTCTCTGCCGCAGCAAATACCTAAAAAAAAGATATCATACAGGCGAAAAGAAACATTTCAATATCGTCATAATTTATCTCTTAAAGAACACATAAACTTGTCTTTTTATCCCTATTTAAGAGGGTTTGTTCATAAAGCAAGGAAATTATCCAAAGCACAACCAGATGAATGTGATTAAGCCCAAAAGAGAATGAATAATCTATCTTGAATATGAAAAAAACATTATTGAGTTGGACTTTATAAAAAAAAAAAAAAAACTGTCTTAATTATTGCAGTCACACCTCTGAAACTTTGTCCCTGACAGGGAGGTGTAAATCAAGGCCATGGTGGCAGAAGCGATCCACCGCGGACCAGCTGGCCTTCTGCTTGACAAAGAGGCGCAGTTTGTCCCTGAAGGTTTCCCCGAGAAAGCTGTAGATAATGGGGTTAAGGCAGCTGTTAGAGAATGCTGCCAGGTTAACAATGTGGCCTGTGAGTGGGTAGTCATGCCACAGGGTGGTAGCAGTCCTCTTAGATGGGTTGGCGGTGCCCTGCAGCAGCTGGATGCTTATGAAGACATTTTCTGGCAGCCAGCAGATGAAGAACACCAGAACCACCACCACAATCATGCGCAGGGCCTTCTGTCGCCTCGGCCACAACCCACGATGCTTCTGGGCCCTCATGAGGATTCGAACGATTAGGGAGTAGCAGAGACCAATGATGGAGAAGGGGATCAAGAAGCCGATGGTCACCTCCAGCCACTGGATTTCAGAGACATTGGCAAAGCAGAAGTGTACCTCTCCCCTGTGTTGGGTCTGTACAATAGTGAAGGGTAGAAGGGTGGCCAAGATGGAGGCCATCCAGATGAGGCCACAGCTCAGCTTGGCGTGATGCATAGTCCTCATCGGGCATCTGCTCATAGAGCTGGCCAAGGCAATGTATCTGTCGAAGCTCATCCATGTCAGGAAGAAGATGCTGCTGTACATGTTGATCTGCAGGAAGAGGGACATAAAGGTGCAGAGGATGGCGTAGTCGTAGTACTTCTCATTCAGGTTGAAAACCTCAATGAGGGAATCTGCCACCAGGATGAGGTCGGCCAAAGCCAAATTAACAAAGTAGAGATCAGGAATGGTCATCTTTTCTCTGTGAGTCAGGTTAACCACCAAAATCAGGATGTTCCCAATAAATCCAATGGGAAAAAGAAGGATGGTGTACAGGCAGGACAGAAAGAGGCCAATCATGTAAAACTGGTATCTTTCAGAGTTTTCACTCGTAGTGGTGTTTCTGAGTGAAGTGTTCAGTTCCTTTGTGGTGTTATTATATATCCAGATCAGAGCAGATAACCTCTCTTCCATGCTGATTCAGGTCAACCTGTTTTAAATCATAAGCCACATGTAAGTCACATCCAGCAGCTACATCATTACACCACACCAGTTCCCAGTGTTCTCTCCTTGAAGGGATATTCATCTATGCTGTATCAACATGCTGACAGCGGTTAAGTAAGTAAAGCATGAATGGGCTGTTTGACCCCATACTGACATCAAGTTTCATCTGCCAGTAAATTATTGATGAAAAACAGAGGCAGTTCCATGTCTTGAAATCAACTTTGACTTTTGCCCCATTTGAGGCACATCATTCCTAACGTTGAATGTGTGATCCGGCAATTAGAAAGTGGCTTTTTTTTCTTCTCTTTTGACTCATCTGATTGGACAGCTCCTTTCTCACTTTAAGCACACCGGGATCCTTATTCAATGACAAACGCCTTGAGATGGTATTGCTGTAACACCTGAGCTGTGGAAACGACACCAGAAGGAAAGCAATTAGAGAACAAAACCTCAAAAATCAGCAATCATCAGGCATTGATTGCAATGTTTATCATTCATTGTTAAAAATAAACACAACTCACAATCAGTTTGATGGTAGCTTTTGTAAGGTAGAAGAAAAAAAAACACATCACTATTTATACCTTGGATTTAAAGAGATGCATTGAAATCCTGCTTTAAAATCTCCAGACAGTTCAAGCCCCCTCCAACCTGTCTGTGCAGACTTGATGACTATTTATTGGGTAAATGGATAAACAAAACAGCGTATTTACTTTTAATAATCTTTGCTTTCAGAGACCATCTCAATCAAATTTGTTCCCCACTGAGAAAAATATTGGACCATCTTTAGGCCCAGAATCACAAACTCTTCCCATAATACCAACTTCTGTTTGGTAAACATGACCTTTAATATTCACTGTCTTCTGGGATTTATTTACTCCTCATGGCAGTCATTTAAGACCGCAACAATAAATAAAAGTATGAATGGGTTGGAAGTTGGAGGAAATGCAATATTTATTTAGCTGGTTTCTAAATTTCTGGTGGAATTATTTCAAATAATTAATAACTTAGAGGCATATATTACACATACTTTATAATACATATGTCTATTAATAAGTAGATATTTATTTCTCTTTTTGGTGAAATGCAAATAAAACCAACCGCTACTAAGTTATTAGAACAGGAATCTAAACTTCTGTATTTTCAGAACGACTTGTAAATCTGCTTCTGACATAAATAGTTCTGTAATACTTTATAAGGGTAGTTTTCTAAGTAATTTTACTTTCCTACCAAAATAAGGCAAACTATTATGTAATGTGCTGAGAAAAACTGCAATCAAGAGCTCCATTAAAGAAAATGAGCGCAGCTGATAACTTAAAACTTGACCGACCAGTGCTGTTGACACTAGAAAAAAAATCCACTATATTTAGTGCAGAAGTTTCCAAAAAGGTATAAAGATTAAACAGTAATATCAGACATACCTCATTTTTGGGATGTATTGCTCCTTCATGCTTGTCCAGTGCAGAGTCAAAAGGAAAGGGTTTTGGAAATCCCATGTCCAGGCTTCTCTTCTGCACCACCTACCGTTTGGCCCAGCCCTGTCTTGGGATGAGAAGAGGGAGGAGAGAGACAGGGAGGCAGGAGATGATCTGACTCCTATGTTTTGCTATCATGCTTCATCAAATCCTCTGCCTTATTTCCTCTGTCTGTGGTTTTAGTGTCTTATCAAATGGGCTGGACAGAGAATAGAACCAATCCTTAAACCAATTCAGCCAATCAAAAAACAAAATAGGAACTGATCAGGATGTAGGTGCTGTGAAGAGTTTTCCTTGTGAAATTGTGTTGCTGTGGCAACCACTTACATTTTTTGCTGTATTTGTTCACCTGGGTAGCCCAGCTTTTAGTGTTAAAGGCCATGTAAACACACACCTCATGGTCTTGTTTTTTTCCACCTGATGCTAGGAGGTTAAATCAAAAGCTGACATGATGTACATAATTATTCACTGATGGAAAAGTCAGATTTGATGTTTAATTAAGTGTAATGTGAGGTGCAACAATTATGTTTAGATTGAGGATAAGACTGTTAGCTTTCACCCTCAATCAGTCGAGAATGGAGCAGGATATTTGCTTCTGGCCAGGACTAACACTATCATAATTGTAACTACATTAGGTGTCTGTACTGAGACCAATTGTGCCATGAGTAGGTGTGGCATTTTTCTTTTTTTAAGAGCTGGGAGGGATTAATGAGGATGGGTGCATGGACAACAGACAAACATTAGCCATCTGTTTTTTATCAGAATATTTATAGAATCATTGAGAGGACATTTAACATTTAATGTTACAGCTTTATTCCAAAACTGATCCAATTCAGTTTGGATTGTGTTAAATCACAAATATGAGGAAGGGTGCAAACATATTTTGGCAGCATCAAACATCCTGAAACACAATGTGGTCTACATTGTTTGTGGAAGAGGTCATAAAACCACTTAGTGGTTAGAAAACCACTTGGGCTAAACCAAAGGGAGTAGTGAGGGAACAAGTGCCTTGATCAGTGAGGTCACCAAGTCATTGGCCATCTAGGTGAAGCTCCACAGGTTTAACCTTTAAAAATGAGAACTTTACAGAAGGAAAACCTTTGGTAAAACACCTATTAGACCTTCATGGAGGAGTATCAGCATCATGTTATGGGATGCTTTTTCTTCTAAACATGCTAAGTTTTGCAATCGTTCGCCTTCAAGTAGGACAACATCCCAAGGATCACTGCAAAGATGATAAATGAGTTGCTTTGGGACAACCTGTCCTTTAATGGCCCAGATAATCAGAAAACCAAGAAAACATCTCTAGAAAGACTGAACAGTTGCTTTCTTCCAGCAGGACCCATGCAACCAAAACACATCTTAGAAGGTCGTAGGAGAACAATGGTTGGAAATACTCCAAGAGCTGTCATGACTGCCAGAGGAGCTTTAGCAAAAGTATTTAGACAAGGCTGTTAATACTTATCTACTTGTGATGATTTGTTTTATCTTAGTAGTTTTTTAGATGAGCAAAGATACCAAATAAACTTTGATTCTTTCTCCCTATGGGTCATTGTAGGAAGGATTTTAAGCAGAATATTTGATGTAATTATTTTTAGTGTAAAGCTGTAAATAAAAATAATAAACAAAATATGTCAAAACTAAATCTTATTGAACACTCACAAAATGTAATGTTTTGAAGTTTATTTTTTAAAAGCCCCAATTTTGAAATTGGTTACATAAGATATTCTACGTATGCAAACATGAGAGTTTCATGAAGACTCTAATCAAGACTTTGCATCATACATCATATTTGCACTACCAACATGGCAGATTTTTTTCATAAACCCTACTTTTATTTTTATAACAGATTTTTATTACTACTGATTTCTATTACTGATTTTTTCATAATCCCTTCTACTGCATTTTTCCACATTTTATTTCATTTTGCAATGCACTTAGCCTTTCCATATTAATACACCATTTTGCACCATGACGTTAAAACTGGTTTTCCTTTTCTACTACACTGTTTACATTCTGCTGCACATTATAAATGGTAATGTTCATTTCACTGTTGTAAGCTGCTCACTCAACTTGAAAACCTTCATGCATCAATATTTCCTTTTGTATACACTCTGTGTTTACAAGATGGCAATAAAGTTTGTCTAAGAAACATTCATATTTAAGTATAAGAAAGATATACAGTTCCTAATAAGAACATGGCAAATATGTTACTTAAATCTGATTTAGATAATGAGACGTAATTATGGATTCATGATCCTTTCACTCCAATCCAATGCAATCCAGTTTTATTTGTTAAACGCTTATAAACCACCACAGATTGCTGTACAGAAAAATAAATAAAAACATCACAGTTAAAAAGAAAAAACAGCTCAAACATAGGTAAAAGTAACATTCACACAACCAATAAAAAAATCGGATACAAATATAAAAGAGTAAAAGGATAAAATAAAATAAAATAACTTCGGGCTAATGATAATGGTTATGGCTTTCATCTGCCATGCAGTCCCATTTAGCTTTGGATGTTTGCTTTTGACTCACAGAGGTGCAAAACGAAAATCCATTTTTAGGCATCTTTTTGGTTTCAATAGCCTGAAACTCATACTTTAAAATCTTCATACTGTAATTTTCTCCTGATTGATAAAATTCTCTGTTCCTTTATAAGAAACACAACCCAGGGGAACATTAAAGGAGAACACGATGCTCTTATGGTGTCACTCTTATGTTGTAGATTAAAATTGTATTTATTAAAAAAGGGGAGATTTTAGTCAGATCAGGATAACAATCACAGCTAAAATACAAGCAGTCCTTGTTGGAAAAATTGTTCCATCTCCATCATCGCCACTGTTGGTTTCTTTTAAACAATTTTGGATACATATCATACTCCCTTTGGACGCACAGTTTCCTCAGTTATTGATAAGACGCTCTCCTGTGCCATGGCAGGTAAAAAATACTGTGGAGCTTTTTGTACTCTTCTCCTGACCAGTAATATAAGATCCCTCCTTAAGCTCTCTGCAAATGATGGCGTCAGTCAAATGATGCAGTTGTGTTCAGGATAATCGATCCAGGAGAGCTGAACTTTAATCATATTCAATATAGTTGATGGCCTGAAATCAAAACAACTGAGTGTAGAAAAAAAATCATAGATGATTCAGCAGAGGATATGCATGCACCCTTATGCAATCAGATAATTGCACTTTTATTTTTGATATCCCCCGACCATTACAGATTTTTGCGGATTTTAATTTTCATTGTACAGGATTAGAATAAGCTATAATGATTTATTGGACTAATTTTTGGGGATCATAACATTTGGATTGTGCTTTAACATGAATCTAGATACTGTTTATGAATGGCTATTGTTATGTAACATTGCAGTGCATCTCTCTGTCCACAAGATGGCAAACTAGCATAATAGTTTTGCTTAGAGGACTGGTAGCTCAGATCTTGGTTGTGAGGATCCAATACAACAACTCAATAGGTATGAAAACAGTGACAGAATATCAGAGAATGTTTAAAAGAAAAAATACAGGATGAAACAATGAGACTGAAGACTTTTGGTTTTCATTTATTTTGTTTTATATAAACTCTTCCAACTACTGTAAAACATGTTTATTCATTAACTTTGAATTTAAAGTCTAAAAAGGAAACTACAACATTACTCCCCTCCCAGGACAATCTGGTGACATCAAAGAAACAGGACAATCCTGGCAGTGTTCTGCTGGGAAACGGTGGGATTTAACCACTTGTGGTTGGGGGAGATGAGAAAGTGGGAGGTCTAGGATGGAAGGTAAAATACCATCATCTGCCTCCACTTACCAGTCTGATGTGCTTCTGGCTCCATGCAGCATCTCTAACAGCCACAACCGCAAACTCTGAATGGAAGAACCTGCCAAGCCCAGCCCCATTTGCTCTGCTTCCAGGGGCAATTTCTGACACTTAGCTGATCCTGGGATTTTACTGTTAGCACATTTTCTGCTTTTTAGTTTCTTAAGAGAAACAAATGGTGAATGGCAAAGGTAAGAGAGGAAGGGTGGATTGTTTTTCAAGCATCTGCTCTAATCCACTTGTTTTCCCTTGAGCTGAAGTGCTGTGTAGGGTCAGAGGAGGCTTTTCCTCAAAGAGGAAGTCTGCTGGATTTATTATGTTTTTTTACTCAACGTCATCATGTTTTGGATAACTATCCCTTCAGACTAGTGGTGCTTGTTTTGTCTTGCTTTGTTGTTCATTTTTAAAACCCCCACATGTTTATTTACAGCGTGCTGTTTCCTGTTATCTCCTTTCTGTTATGCACGGAATAGCTTTCTTTGTTCTCTTCTTATACTTTATAATTTTGACGGTATCCTGCCCTGTCATGTTCCTGTCCTCAATCTCTGCAGGCCAATTTCACCCATATTAAGACAAACAGTGGTCTGAGGTTTTGTGTGAAATGTGCTTGACAGCCAAAGAAAACATAAAAAAGCTGGGGGCCAAATGTTCTGTCTTCTTAGGTGGCCTGATGCTGTTCAGTGTTCAACTTGACCCTCATACTTTTGGTCTGGCTGAACCTCTTGAGAAGGAAAAACAATATTAGGACTAATTCAACACATTAAAAGCTGTGGGATGTGTCCGAATAAACCAATTTTTAGAATGAAACTTTTTTTAGTGATGCATTTTTCCAAGATGGAAATTTGAAGCACAATTAAATATAAAACACAAGGAAGGAAATCAAATTTATATAGCTCGAACAATGTAATTTTTCTCAAAAATGTAAATGTGATACCTTTAATTCTATATTTAGACGTTTGCAGAGTGAACCTGATCACCCAATTATCTCAACCCTACAGGCTTCCTGTTGTGCCACTTTCCTCAGCCCGGTAGTTGCACAGGCCTTGGTGAGCAGCACTGTTTACCAAAAGCAGTCATAGTATTTTTGTCATTCCCACGAAAGATGAAGCATTTCCCAGAATTTGTGGAATGCTTCTATTTTCCACCAGTCTGTTTGCTGAGGTTAGAGGATCCTTACATAAGCTGTGACATTAATGCCGACACCCAATGCAGCTGCATCTCCGGGGGAGGGAACAAACATCAGCCAGCTTACTGCTGTGACCTGATCAGAGTTAAAGGAGAGCTTCTGTTGTTATGATCAGATGCACATTTGGGCTGCAAGCAGAAAATCCCTTTTTCAGTGAAAAAAATTTATATTTTGTGACGATTAATCAAGCAAAACAGCTTGTTTCTAACAGCTTGTGATATTTCATGTTTTGCTATGTTTTCATCATTATGTAAGGATATTAGATTTCCTTACAAGGGGTAAAAAAAAAATCATGTTTTTTCAGGAAAGGGTTACAGAATCTAAATATATAAATAAAATGCTTAATTTTGTTAAAATCTCATGCATTGGCTTGCAAATCCTTCAACATTCATATTTTATGTACATTATTAGATAATTGGTTTGCTTTTACTGCACTTTAGAGGCAGAATGAGACTTATTTGCACTCACACATCTGCAAGAGTGCATCCCACAAAGAAATTGAAAGAGTCTGTTGTTGTGAAGTTTGAGATTCAGATTCATCTTTGTGAGCTGAGCCCCCCCCTCCACCAAATTGAAATAATAAACCTCTCTGATATTTGGGCAGCTGTGTTGGCTGGGTGCGAGTTTGAGGTTTGATCATGGGTTTTTTTTCTATGTAAAAGGCAGCACCCAGTAAACCCCATTTGGTGGTTCCTAATTACTCTCCTTCTGCAAAGGATTCATTTGCTTCCGTCTCCATGAACATGGCTCCAAACTCAGCTGAACTTTAGCATTATTAAAAAAAAAAAAAAAATCTGATTTTACAGATAAATCCTTTAAATTTTCTTATTCTTTCCTGCAACACTTTAGCTTATAATTCAGCAGAAATACGTAGCATTTAGGATCAAAACTTTAATTTATTCTTCAAAAATGTTCTATGATGAAAATATGCTGAAGGTCATCCAATTTGTTCCCCTTTTGAGATTAACTCAATAAGCCTTTTCATACAGCCTGTTGCAATTCAGGTATTTTCTTCCCCAGGAGATTTTTTTACCGGTAGTTTTATTATCAGTATCATTTTTATTTAAAGTAAAAATTTCCTCAATATACATTTGAACAGTCAGTAAAACCACTTGAAATCAGGGGAAACTGTGTGACCATATGTGGAAGACTTTTGCAAGCAAGCACTGTTGCTCAAAATGCAAACACTGAGTTCCTTGGAATGCTTCTCACAGCCCGACTGAAGGTGCCACGGTGGACATATGCTGCCAAAATGAGACGCCTGTGAGTGACTCCTTTTATAGCTGGAGACAAAATATTCCTGTTAAATGTAAAAAAAAAAAAATAAAAAAATAAAAAATAAAAACAAAACAACAGACAGGAAACATAAAACAAAGTTATAAACTGAAGCACAAACTGTTTGTATGTCACATCTTGGAAAACCTTCCACATAGATTTGGATTAATAATGTTCAAGTGTTCTATCATTCAGTCTGGGATTTACAGTTCATAGCTATGCTTCATTTTTTATTCAAATGCATCATTTGAGAGGTGCATCTATTCAGAAAATAAGTTCAAATAATTCAGCAAAGACAAAAAAACAAAGTGTGATTTTGTAACCTTTTTATTTAGCATTTAATAGGAAGAGCTCAACAATATATACTCTTTTAAATAATTGGCAGACAAAAAGCGAAGTAGCTTAAATGTATCTGAGCAGCATTATGGTTCATGTCTCAAAGTTGCATAATAAAACCGGTGTTTTCGATCTGCAAGTTCTTTCCTTATTTCCAGATTTTTTTCTTCCTCCTATGATCCAGAGAGTAAGAAAGTTTCCACTCACCAAAAAACCTCCAAACCGCTTGTGTTTGCTTACAACACTTTGCATGGACGTTGCTGAACCTGTGTGAAACTCAGCATACAGAATACCCGCGGAGGTGAAACACAACTCTGAGAAAAATCTGAGGCTGGGCGGTCAAGCTCAGGTTAAAGAGCTCATTGGAGCTGCTTATGATTAACGAGAATGTTTCAGCAGAGAAGTAAGAGGTACGCCGGTTATGTTGAGCCCTGAATACAAGCTTCACTTCTATCTGTCAAGTGCGATTTTAAGGTGGTGAGGGTTCCAATAAATCTACAGTAGGAAATGTGCTGAGGAGCTCGGCACATGCATGAATAATCTCTCTGTGGAAAGGAATCAGTGGACATGTCTTCATTACAATACTCATCGCTGCAAACTGGATCTGCTGCTGGTTAACAGATTCTACAAAATAATATGATTCTTTTCCTTAAGAAATATGAGGATTAGTCAACTTTATGATCAGAAATCCTGAACTGTAACATTAAACATTTGTATGAAGCACTAAAAAAGCACCATTTCATAGAGATGCACTAATCAGTCACCCAGAAATCTATTTAGTCCTGATTGGCAGATCAAAGGCTAAAAACATTTATTTTCATACATTAGATGCGTCAAAACAAAGAACTTCAAATATTGGTGGTGTGTGATTCAGTTTTTTTTATGATGCATGTTATTAAAGTGTTATTAAAATCACATACAGGTTAATAACATCTGACTTGATGTATAACTGTATCCTATAAACGCTAACGAATCTGAGATTTACCTTTATATTTACTTGAATGAAAATAAAACAAAAACAAAATAAGAATCAGACAGCATCAGAAAAAAGTATGAACCACAAAAGGTCTGATCAATGCATCTCTATTTTTCCTATTTTTAGCGTTTAAAGCTCATTGGTTTAGCTGGTGTGTTAGAAAAAAAAAAGCTTCAATGCTACAAAAAAATTATTATGAGTCACACGATTAAATTTAGGTAGTGGTGTGTAAGTAAAATCTCCTAATTGACACATAGAGACAAACTGTGATCAGTATGCTGCTTGAAAGTAGCTTTACATTGATGCTTCGATTAAACTAACTTGGCTGAGATCAGATGATTGTACGAACCTAAACTACCACAAGGATCTCCTCTCTGACTAAAAGCAGCACTTAATTTTTTTTTTCGTTTCTTAAACGTCCTTGATTTTGACCGTCACAGATGGATAAGATCAAGTTCTGGACAGGGACAGGAAATAGCGCTCCACATACAGCCCAGATCCTCGGGGAAGCCCAGTCACATGCTGGTTCTGCAGGAGTGGAGCAGTGAGGCGAGATAAGTGCTGGCTGGGCCAATAACTGGAAAAGAGAGGTGTGTGTGTGTTTGATATCCCGACGTGACGTTTCACGTCACCACTTGCTGCACTGCTGAGTGTTCATGAGGGCAGGACTGCTCCCTGCAACGCAGCCTCCTGAGCAGCCGATGAAGCTTGCCGGAGAAGTTTTTGTTCATCTGTCTGTACATGAGAGGCATGGCGAAGCTGCTGGAGAACGCCAGCAGCTTAGATACACACTTCATGAAGTCAAAGGAAGCCAAGTAATACCTGCTGCTCATATGCCCCGGGGCACCTGCTATGGTGTGCACCAAAAGGGTCATGTAGTATGGGGTCCACAGGACAAACTGCACACACACTGAGGCTAGCAGCAGCCGGTGTATAGACGGGTCCAAGCGAGCAGAATCCTGATCCAGAGGGGTGGACTCTTTCCTGATGCGTAAAATGAGCACAAAAGCGTAAAGCACGGCCACGGCTGGAACCACGTAACCGATGAACATCATGATGGCGTCGGCGGCCTCCTTGTTCTGCATCTTGGAGCACTCAACCATCTTAGTAGGGATGTGATTGCACACATAGAAGAGAAGCGAGGAGAAGCTAGTCAGCACCGCGCCGCCCCAAATGAACCCGCAGACATGCTTGGTGTTGTAAACGCTGGACATGTAGGTTCGAGGCAGCGCCCGCTCTATATAGTAGTCCAGGCTCAGCAGGGTGGTGGAATACATGATGACAAGAGAAGAGATGTTGAAGAGGATGAGCAGAGTGATGTGGACCTCGTCATTACATTCCCATGCGTGCCAGCGGGTGAACGTTGAGCCGAGGAGCTCCACTGGTGCCATCAGGTTGAGGACAAGTCCCGCGATGGCCATGTTGACAAAATAGACATCCGGCATGGTCATGGAGACCTTGTTGGAGAGGTTCACAACCACTAGCAGCACGTTATAGCACAGCCCCAAAGGGAAGCAGACCAGGAGGTAGATGAGGGAGAGGACTGACAGGATAAGGCCCAAATCCTGGCAGAGCTGGAAGTCCACAATGGTGTCCGTCTCATTGTAAAGCATGCAGCTCCACATCGCTGGGCTCCGACGCTGGCCAAGCTCTCTCAACAGATCCACTGTAACAAGGAGACACAAAGATAATACAGTCACAAGGGGAAGTATACACTGCAGCAAATTTGCATTTACGAGCAGAGAGACGAACAGTATGTAACCATGAGCTTTATCGCTGACGTGTTTGGAAGAACAAACGCACTGTTCTGTTAAATATAGTCTTTTTGTTTTTTTGGACACCTAATGAGCAGATTTCTGCTCTCTCCGTTCCTGCCTTCTGTGCTGCCAAGAGGACCAGATACGGCCTTGACACAAAAGTACGTCAGCAATGAGTCGGCTATTGTGCTCCGGGTAACACTGTTAATTTCACTTCACTGCATCCGACTGGCTGAATACAAATGACTAACAATATGTTTGCAGCTCAGCCTCCAAAACCCACACTAATTCCCCCTTACTGGCCAAAGCAAATGAAGCCCTTGTTCTGATGGAAGAACACAAAATTGTATTTGTCTGACACCTTAGCAAGCTTTTTTTTTTTTTAAATGCCCCCCTCTGCTTTGTCTCTGTCCTACTGTGGAAGTCACATGCAGGAAGTTCCTTTCAAACGTTCAATGTGGTCAAGGACTGAGGTAAAGTGGAACACTTCAGGTACAGATGTGCCGCTCTTTCATTTGAGCGAAAAACATCTTTGATGTTCAGGTCAAATTCATTGGACTGGGAGTGCGGAGATGGGTGAATTCATATCAGGTCAAATGTGAGTCAGGATAAGTCAAAGGGTCACTGGAGGGAATTTTTGGCAGGAGTTCAAGCAAAAGTTTAAACTAGAACTCGCACTTGATCGGTGAAACAACTTCAGAAGGTTTGGTTTAGTAAAAAATTAGAAATATCATTGCATGGGTGCAACAACAAGAAATCAGCGTCTTTAGTTTCTTTAGTTGGTATGTTCACGGTCTTACCAAAAAAACATCTTTAAAAAATGGCTCTGAAATTAAGTAAATATGTTTTACAGTATTAATACATGCACTGATTTCAAGAGAATTTCCAAGAATGTTCCTACTGGCACAGAAAGCAGCGGATTGAGTTTTATTTTCAGAATGATGAATAACTATGCCAGTAACAAGGGAAACTTTCTTCCGTTGGCTTACGTAACACCACTACAGAGGGACGGTTTTTGGCCTCAAGCCTCAGACACACATGCTCACAACGCCTACTCCCTACTCTGTAAAGAGCCTATAGAGGAGGTTGGAGCTCAGAGCTAAACTAGAGGCGGGTAAGAGGGAGGAAAGTGTAGAGTTACTCCTTACAGAAAAAAAAAATGGTCATAGCCACAGAAGCGCTGGGGAGCCCTTTTGTAAACACGGCTCTTTGACACAAGCAGCTAGGTGCCTCATTGACCAAAACAGACACGGATAATGGCCTGATTCTGGTCCATTTATCACATGCTGTACCTTGAACATGTTCTATATCATATCTGGCTCTTAACCCGATCTATAACCTTTAATTACCTCAGAAGAAAGTGGCTTTAGGGGAAGTTGGTGCTTACTAAAGTGGGCCTGCCGCTCCACTGCTTGCTGTCCTCATTCATTAGCACCTGCTTTATGCAGACATTTCTTCCCTTTCATTAACACATCGCTATGTGAAAAAAGGTGCCTTTTTTCCCACATCCTACAGAACATATCCATAAAGTATCAAATCAACAAGTGAGAATATGTATTGTTCCTGTTTTCCAGGATGGTACACACAGTATGTAAAACAACTGCCTTATTATTTCACAATGGAATGAAGGCACACAGTGTTCACACTGAGAGGGTGAGATGTTCCATGTGAAGTTTTTGAAAGAGCATTGGTCAAGTTGTTTTTTTTATTTTGAAATAAAAGAAGCAAAAGGAAAAAGCTTCAAATCAGATAAATAACATAGCATAGGGTCTTATCAGATAGCAGCAATAAACATTGAGCAGCTAAAGCAGTGGGTTGTGCAGAATTCCCACTGCTTTAGCTAAAGTAGTGGGTATGTACATACATTCTGCACATACCCACTGCTGAAGTAGTGGGTATGTGCAGAATGGATGCACATACCCACTGCTTTAGCTAAAGTAGTGGGTATGTGCAGAATTTATGTAGACATTTCTGCATCTAAAAGTTTTGTGTCATGGCAGTTTCTGCTCCTGGTTAACAATAAATGCACAACAAACAATTTGTGAATGTTAATAGGAAGGTTTATTGTGAGGAAGCCAGGCAGTTTAACAACTTTAAGTAGGATTCTGGTTTTGTATGTTTAACAATTTAACCACAAGTTTTCCATGAATGTTTTTAATTAGACCAATTACTGCTTCAGAGAAACAAAAACAAAATAAAAAAACTCCAGGGGCCAGTTTATCTCTTTGTTCCCACCATTTTTTTACTGCACATTTGCAGTGTACCACTTATCCTATCCCACTGTATATGTGTAAAATATTTTAATGTACATGGGCTTAAATGGTGACTTAGAAGTTTTTCTATCATTATAGTTAAATGTCTTAAGGATTCCAGGTTATTAAAAAGCCCAAAATTCATATGATTAAATTTATAGAGTTGGGAATTCTTCGTTTTCCTCCAGAGAGTATCAGCTCATACTTCATGATGTTTAGCATAGTGGTCAAACATCCGACATACTGGTTTCAAGAAAACAGAACGCAACAGTATCTACTGACAACGTGTCAAACCTTGAAACATAAGAAGCTACTCTGGTGCCACCACTGCCCCTCTGAAAACAGGAAACCAAGGCTGCAACTTTCAAAAATTAGACCAGACTGAAAAATGTTGCAATTTCACCAACAGCATTTGCATAGTAGGATCAGAGTTACCTTCCTGTCCCTTATTAACGATTCAGGAAGTTCGTGGTGGGGCAGCTTTCTGGGGAATATTTTGCTGATATACTTTGGGCTCTTTGGAGCCAACATCTATGAAACTAGATGATCTGAAGCTTGATGCAGACCATCTCTAAACCATAATAACCACATCCTATGATTGTTGTTTCCAGCAGATTAATATCTAAAAACAAAGTAACTTCAACTTAATCTGAAAATTAACCTCTATGACATCAAACTAGGGTCGTCACTATGCTAAATTTTCAAGTTCGACATCGATACAAAGAAAAAATATTCAATACTTTATACTGTTTTCAAAACCATAGGGGTAAGAAAAGGACAAAAAATTAAAGGCACAAAAAATATTTTCCTTAAAATGGAAAACTGACCTAATTCAATCTCACCATGGAGGATTCTTTCAAAATGAAATCAAAGATGTCAGTTAAAGAAATGTGCAAATGCAAAAATAATAAACCCAACAAAGTCTGACAATATTTTGAGGTTGTCTGAGGTATTTTTCTTCTAGTGTGGAAATGATCCAGAAATCTAAAATTAACTATAGCAAAAAAATTGCAAACAGTCCATCCCTACCATGCCAAGTTAGTGTTATCTCCGGATACAGAGTTTGAGTACCGATATTTTTGACAACCCTACATTAAATAGGCAACTGGAATATCAATGTCATGATATTTTTCCAAAATGATTCTATTTCAGGACAACATTTAATCAGAAGTGCAATGCAGGACAAATACCCCTGCAAATTTACAAGGGAGATCAGATAGAATGAGAGAAACTTTTATCAAAATAGTAGATAATAAATAGCTTTGAAGCCAAGCTGAATAATATCTGTATATAGGCTTCCTCTTTCTGACTCTTCTGAAACGCTTTGTCCCGGCCGTATCTACCAGGGTGTTGTCAGAGCTGCTCCACTTCAGCCATGCACATTTCGCCAGCAGCCCATGATAATGAGAGCTCTAGTTTTCCACTCAGCTGGAGGGAAAACAAGCGAGGTGCAAGTTCACGCTGCATGAGATGTGTCTGCTTTAATTTGGCATCATGAGAATCCTTCCTATCCAAGCCAACGTGATGTTTTTGGGGTTGACTAAAGGCCATGGAGACAAGATGAACCATAACAAGCCATATATACAGATGCTGTCAGAACAGAAATATCAACTTTTTACATTTTCACCTCATTTTCAAGCAAATAAATGATGTATGAACATTATTTTCCCCTCTCTGGCATCTTTTAAGATAAACATACATTTAGCCTTTTTTTGTTTTTTTTTCCTACACCATTCCTTTTTTCTTTAAAGCTACAATATTATAAAGATTACTACATTGAATTACATGCCCAGATTTAAAGACTTTAATTCAACGCTTAGTGCTTGGAGCAAGCTAAAAACAAAGTCCTTAAAGCATCTGCTGAAAAGCCTTCAATTAGTTCCCCCCCAGACATGACTCTGACTTGGATTAGCTTCATCTGAACTTTGTTAGAGAGTCCATGTCAAAATTATTTAAGCTGAATAGTCCCAGAGGGGGAGGCCCTGTTTCGGCATGTGCTGGACCCACCAAAACATGATCCCCCCCAACAGTGACGCAAGTGTGCCTGACGTCCAGGCTTTCTGAAGCCAGAACCTTGAGAGCTGATGAGAGCAGTGTGACATACTCAGCCCGCACCCCGTTTATATGCTTACAGGAACTTGCAGCAAAATTTACAGAAAGCACTGCATGGCGTCACATGATTTCCTACCAGCGCCTGCAGAAGACCAGAGAATAAGATAACATGCCCAGCTCTTCCAGACACTAAATGATTATAAGACGGTGACTCAAACTTGGAAGGAAATCAAGACAACTTCTGTTTCATTTGTCACAATGCGAGCTGCAGACTTTGTTTAAAGCTACTGATAGGCATCAATTATTAACTTGGCAGCTGCTGCACCAACAAAAGAAGTTAAACTTGCAGAAACCATTGTTGGGGATTTTAAAGCACTATCTCACAGAGAGGGTTGAACATTGACAGACTGTCATTTGCAGAAACATTTATAGGGAACTATTTGATTCAGGTAAATAAAAAAATAAAAAAAATAAAACAAAAGAGAAAAAATAAAACCAATCAGCCTTCCTGATGTGCTTCCTGGCAATGACTGTGACCCAGCAGAGTGAGAGTTCAATGGTCAGCACAAAGCAGGCTTACTGCCTCTAACCAGGGCCCCTTACACGCCTATTGGTCAAGTGGATCACACTGACAAGTGCAAAGCTTTATTCTTAATTCAGTAAAAAAAAAAATGCATCTATTGTTCTACTGTTGATACTTGAGCTAAAATATAATATATGATAATGTTTTATATGATTCAGTAAAAACTGTAAAAACAAAACACAGCTTAGATTTTAATAAAATATGTGTAAATAGACAGATTAGTTCAAGATCCGTTGAGTTTCAACTTATAAACCTGGAGGAGGTGAAACATTTTTAGTATTTTTATTCAGTTTTTAATCAGCTGTCCAATAAAAAAAACATCTTTGAGCAAAAATTAACCTACTGGGACATTTAGTCAAAATGGTAGATGCTATATAAACTAGATATGGGGGCAGCATTTGCATATTAACATTTATTGGCATTACAGGACAAACCGCCTAGGAAACTTCTCCAGGTGTTTTTTTTCTGGCAATCAAAGGCGTCGTTAAAACTGAAGATCGTCTGCAACCAAACTAAACTAGACTAATTATGTCTATTTACGCAAATTACATGATGACAGTTACTAGTTTACCTTTATTGTCCCATCAGTGTTGGTAGAAAGGAGAGCGGCTTCCCTTTGATTCACCTAAACTAACTTAAAAGAGTTTTTTAAGGTCTCTCCTGTATTAAATGATGGGGATATGGGTGTTAAAATAAAGAGGATAACTTACCACAAACGTATGGGTTTGGATCGGTGTCAAACCTAAGGAGGCATTGGATTCGGATGTAGCATTTCCACTGGCATTTCTCGGTTGCTTCATCCGAAAACAAAGTCTCTCCTTTATACTCCGCGAAAATCCGAATGAGGATTTCAGGGAGCGCGGCCGGTTTCCGTTAAGTCCTCCGTCATTTATCAACTTTTTAAAACCAGGCTTTTCGGTTTAGAAAAAGGGGGCCGACCGTTAGAGAGTTTACTACTACGGCTGGAGAGTTGCTGCTGCTGCTGCTGCCGAGTCCTGCAGTGTATACAGACCCCTCCCCCATCTGGCTGCCCCCCTCGCCCTCTGCCGCCGCTACCCAACGGCTGTTCTCCCCTCTGATTGGACGAGAGGCTTAGGGGGCGGTGCTTCCTAAACACAACAGTGCACACAGATAGATTTAAACCAACATCTTTAAAAATGGGCACCACACAATAAATAAGGAAGTTTCTGGTAAAATATAAGCACGTTAGTTAATAAATTGTGCTCCCTTTGTCTTGTAGGTGATAGAAAATATGGTCTTTTTTACGCAGAGGATAATTGTACTTGTCAAGGACATCAGTTGTCATGAAGGATATTGTGTAAGCTGTTTATTGTAAAAATGCAGCAGTAAAGCACAAAGAAAACTATTGACATATTTTCTCTTTTTTTCTTTCTCTTTTTTGCTGCCTGCCTTAAAGGGGTAGTAAACTATTTTTAGGGGATGTTTTGTTAACCAGCTGTTTGGAATAATCTGGAGCAATGATCAAAAAGAAATATATGATCGAATTAATAGAATTGGGAATTCTTCTAGTATTGTGATCAAACATCAAACATTTATGAACACAAATTGGGATTCGACCAATTAAACAGCAGTAAGTTAATGAATTTATGCATCTAAAAAATAGCAAAAATATGCAGTGACCAGCAGTGCTGTGAATAAAAAGACAGTGCTGAGAGTTCATAGGAGAAAAGAAATACTGGTTTCAAGAAAATAGGACGCAACAGTAACCCAAAAACTCACATCCAACTCGTGCAAAACAACATCTCTACTGACAACGTGTCAAACCTTGAAACTCTACTCTGGTATCACCACTGGCAAAGTAATTATTTCTTTTGCTTAGGTTGGATGGATATATGAACCTAAACTCACAATAAGATTCTTCATTGAACCCTTTCAGGTGGACTATATATAATCCATATGAGAATTACTTTTAGGCTTTTCCAGGTAGATTTAAGTTTCAAATGACGTTAAGGTGCCCAGCATATATGGATCCCTCCTTTTTTAGTTACGCTAAATGGTTTCCATTTATTTGCTTATATATGTTCTGCATCAAACTTATCTACGCCGTCATAATTTGGCTAATATGTCACTACCTTTTTAGCCCGTAGGCCTAAACGCAAATGTTGGAAAATAAAGTTCTAAAACTTTACAGGGCTTTATGAGAATTCTATGTTATAATTATAAACTAGCCACAAAAACTTGTACAGTTGAAATGAATGGTACAGTATTTTATTGATATTTAATCTTTCATGTTTTTATAAAAGGGAGTTATTCTAATAAGGCTTTACCTGTTACTTTTGCAGTTTTCAACATTTGGTGCTTTCATTTAACATCAATATTTATCAGTTTTTTGTTTTCAAGGTTTATAAAATTAATCTATCAAAATTGCAATGATTCCTTGGCCTAGGCCCCTTTTGTTCTAGTGATAAGCTTTATAGTAGTAGCCATTCAAAATTTCCCCACTTTCCTTGATGGGCCCTTGGCTGGTACCCTTCAATTCCTTTTTAAACTTGAATATTTGTACTAATATATTCTGTTTGTCATGATTTGTGGACATAAAGATCTAAAGAGAAGCATCATCTTATGGTCAGACCCTGTAATTAAGTGAAAGGATGGATTCAGAATAAAAAAATATGCAAGAGGGTGTCGCTCCAGTGGCTGGAAGATGGAGGGGATTTCACCAGGAGTTGGAGGGCTGCTACTGTTGCTTCAAGGACCAACAAATTTAGCTATATTATTTCAAAAGAAGAAGTTAAACTTTTATTCAATATTCTTTTTGACCTTTTGGGCTGACATAATAAGTAAATTTCTTCACTGTGAGATCAATAAAGTCAATCAATTGATTGACAAAAACTGTACCCTTCAAAACATTATTTTATTTTCTGCAGTTATTTGAACTGAAGTTTATAGAAAATTACTTGATGGACACTCACAAGGCTACAGAAGACAGTTTGGGTTTTTGAAAGGAATGCAATTATTCTAAAAACTTTAAAAAAATGGGAAAATTGAATTTTAAGTTTATTTTATGTTAACTGTTATTTTCCTTGGTCACAAGTAACCTCTCCTAACGTTACATTTTCTATAATTAACAGCTATTGACAGAAAACTGCCAAACCATCCAGTCTAATTTCGAACCCCACTCATATAAGTATAGCTTTATCTTGTTTATATTAAAAACATGGTCCTGGTGAAAACTGGTATGTCTCTTGCTTGAATAGTCTTTCTACTGTAGGTGAGGCAAATGCATACAGTCTCTGAGTAGGATTTGTATAGCAATATTAAATACATTTGTCTCCTGTCCTTTCTTTAATGGATCCAAATAACCAACAGAAATTGTAACTCCAAGTATTTTCAAAAGTGTTCCAACATTGCTTTGCATAAGAAGTTTGTCTGAATTCAACGATTAGATCTGCTTTACAATTGAGCTTGGAAAAACATTGCTTTGATCTAATGTGAGCAACAAATTTTACTCTTTCAAGCTAAGAGACGGTGGTTTGGAGAAACATACATTTTTTTCCATTATTGTTTTAAATCTAAAGGTCAAGCTGCAAGAACCGGAAACATCCATCTTTACTGCGGATTGTTAAAGGATCCTGGAAACAGCTTTTCTTAACTCAGACAAAATAAAATTGTCTTAAAACCTTTAAAGATCTTAGTTTTGTTAAGGTTGTCTAAACAGTTTGAGGATCATTATTTTTATTTTTTCTTTATTATTTTTTTCCCCTTTTTTTTGCTCCATTTTTGCTCCATTTTCAGTTCCGGTAGATCAAGCAGATCTAAAAATCTATTTACAGATGTCATACTTGGTTGATATTCCTCTTGTTTCTGTTGCTATAGGTAACACAAAACTAAATCTAAGATATACATCATAAATATGTACATCCTATTTCAGATCTATGAATAAAGGGTGTTATGTGTAGTTTGATGACACAAGAACCTAATAATTGCTTCACTGTATTAAGATACCTTCTTTAATTTCCTGCTCTTTCCCTGAATGAAAGGAGAGATACAACAACAAAGACCTGAAGTGAAGGACTGAACATTCTTTCTCATAAAATATAAAGAAGGTAGATATATTAATAAACTATGCAGAAATATATTTTCTCTTATGCAAATAATGGTATAGGATAGGTAAATGATAAAAACTAAACCACACTACAAAAACAGAAATGTGGTCTCATTCTGGTAAAACTATATTGAAGTCTGAATGAATCCCTTTAAAAAATATATTTTCTTTTGAGAGGTTTCATACCCCTAAAATATTTACATTTTGTACCATAATAACCATGTCCTTCAATGTTATAGGGATTTAGTTGGCGTATCAATACAAATTAGCATATCATCGTGTTCTGAAAGAAAAATAACATTTGGTTAATGGAAGCAGGGTTAATTAAAGCATTAGTCAGACTTACACTGAAACTGTTGTTTATTGGTTGAAGGCATGCATCTGAAGATATTGGAGAAGGTAAGACTGATGAGTTAATAAATTATTTTGGATTAATTTAATTTATTTAGGCCATGCAGGAAGGTACCAAAAGGCCTTAGAATCTGGGTTATATTTGTTTTCCCTGCAGGTTTAGGAGTAAGTACAGTTATGGAAATAAGTCTGTAACACTTAGTGGTAATAATAAACGAGTAAAACATGCTTTTTAAGGTTATAGTACAGAAAGTATGAGAAAAAAAAAACATTCATTATGTTTCCCAAAGCAGAAAGAAGAGATGCCCTATGAGTAATAAAGCTTTAATCTATCGTTATATGTATTAAAATGTCAAAAATATTTTTTTCTGATAAGGAGGCGCAGTCAAATATAGAATTGATCTGTCCTAAAACTGATGCCCAAAAACTTCTACTGCTGAAGATCAGATAAGATGAAATACAGAAAGTTTGGAAAGCCTGAATAAACAAAAACAAAGTGAAATCAGATCCATCTTCTAAACAAGTGGAAAAAATTGTTTGAAATGGCCTATTTGACTCATTTTAATCTAAACTCTGACTGGTACATTTGCATCTTTATAACAGACTACATTACAAAATCTTTCTACTTACTCAAAATAAGATCCCACTCCCAGCCTTTTCCTTGCTTTTTTAAGCTAGAACTTACAGCATGAACTTAGATCTTTTATTAGATATTGTGAAATGAATACACAGGCAGCAGCTCAAATCAAGGAATTAAGCATTTGCACCACTTACTATGCTGACCATCCTGCTAATGATTTCTTTGATTTTTATCTTCAATAGATCAATATTGCTTTGATCCTTGATGATTAATGCTTGTATGCTGGACACTTACAGAAGGAAGAGAGAGGAAGGCACTGAGCTGGTGTTGGGTTTGAGAATGAAATCAGAGTTTATCCCCAATCAAGCACAGAAATCTGTTCCTATTCTTGGAAGCTACATATTCACTCTAAGTCTCTGTTCTGCATTTATTTCCGCCTAAGGACTTTTGACTGCATAACAGTATTTGGCTTTTTTTTTTTCTTAAATAGCTCCTCAATGTAAATGCACGTCATCTGTTGGCACACTTAATTTGGCACCCCATTTTCAAAGCAACCACAATAACAATGAATGGTCAATAGCATCTATGGCTTCTTTTATTAGTTCCTAAATACATTATGATATAGTAACAAGCAACCATCTCACTGAGACATTTACTGTATGGCTTATCATAACAAGGTCAGGCACATCAGCAGTTACTAAGTGATAATTGGTTTGTCTTGCTGGATATTTGCATGCTCACAAACAGAGGTAAACTATGCAGCGGAGCAACACAGTGCATAATGTGTTCATGCCTCTAAGCTTAGTGGCCTGGGAGTGCACATTAAGCTCATTAAGTCTGTGGTGGAGATTATGGTGTTTTAGACCAGGCACCAGCATCCAGTGGCTTGGGCGTCTCATCATTTTCACTGGGCAGGAAGGAAGTGGATAGATTAGTGCAAAAGAACTCCTCTGAGTCACCACCAAGTCAACATTTTCCAATCAGACAGATGGCTGACTGAAACCTAC